AGATTTAAAAGTGCAAAAAGTGTTTATCGATCAAACCAAAATAATTGGACCAAAACTAAAAAATAGAGTTTTTGACGAAAACTAAAAAGTAGAGTTTCTGAGTCCAAGACAAAGGGCAAATCTCAACCAATCAATCACTCTTCTGTGGACACATGTCGCGTCCAAATGTTCATTTCTCTACCTTTACGTGATGGAGTACTGACATATTTATAGCTTGTTTCTAAACCCCACCCCCACCCCAACTTTACCATATTACAATACCATTTCTTAGGATTCTAGGCAACCTTCTTACTGTATAAAACAATCTCTTTCCTAGTACAAAAGAAAAGGAGAAAATCTTTCAAAATCGCTATACTTTTATGATATCTATAGATTAGAAAAACAAAATAAAAACAAATCTTGTGAAAAAAGGCTATGCACTTTGTGTAGCAGTGCATATCATTTGAGGGAGACTATATACACGACTCTCTCTTTTGCCTGATAGTATACATGCCTTTTTTTTGGGTGTGTGGTTTGGCAACACTATGCGCATGACTTTATGTACGTACGTACAGCTAGCGAGGCAGGCACGCGAAAGCAACAAGCGAAGGTTGATGTCTCGCTGGAAAAACGAGGGAGCGATCGAGGAGGAGACAGTGCGAGGTGGCCCTGACCTGAACCTGCTGCTGATGGAAGAGAGTGCTGGACGATCATGGCATGGGTCGGTCGTCTACCTATACCACGGCATGCAACTCTGCAATACCAATACAAGCTAACTACGCATCGCACAGCACAGCACGATGAGTAGGCAAAGCAGCAGCAACTCTACCTACACATGCATGCATGTTCTTGCACAGGTAGCTGTCTCTGTGTGCCGAATCTACCCAGGATATTTTGCTGGGCAAAAGAGGATCGATCGGAGTCGCAAAAGAACTCCTACACACAGATGCAGAATGGCGACCGATGGAGCTGAGGCACTACTGCTGGTCATGCACACGGGACTAGAGGAGAAGAACTTGACTTGCCCCATGTACATGCTGGACTAGCTAGCTAGCTATCCAAGAGATCACGTGTCGCTCTCATGGATATGCATGCATGGTCTGAACATGAGAACAGGGTAGCAAGAGCTTAGCATTTGTGTTGGTCACGGCTTCTCCTGGTCCTGCCTCCCACGCGTTTCATGTCTGAAGTTTCAGGCTCTGCATAGCATATCTGCAGTCTGCAGAGTAATTAAGTGGGTGGAAGTGTTTGAGAACTGCGCTATTACAAGTACAAAAACAGTCAGATACTCAGATTACATGGTGGTTCCATGGCTCGGGTTAGTTTTTTTTAGATACATTGGCGCCCTTTGAAAGACACTGAGCAGCCCAAACAGACAACTACTGCCTTATCTGCTCCAAAGCTTGCTGCTCAGCTGCTTCTTGCTTGAAGCACCATGTTGATCTCCGGTTGGATTCCATCAAAGACACAGCGGTTCTCCTGTGTTTGCAAACCGTACACGCCACCAGGACTGGAAGCAGGCTCGCTGGATTCAGTTCGAAGAGGAGACTGGAGTGCAAAGGCTAACTGACAAGGGTCGTCGGTGAGGAGAGAGATAGAAGAGTGTCCCTGTAGCTGCTTGCTTTCAGAAACCAGATCAAAGAGGTGATATGCTATGATGGCCAAGTTCTATATAGTATACACCCAAAACAAAAATCAAAGGTACTGCTTAGTTAGGTGGAAATTAAATTATTAGTCATCAAACATAACTCCAATAATTCAGAGATTATCTTTTTTTTTCTATTAGACAGACAGAGACAGAATAAAATCTTTTCCCTCAAAGAAAAAAGAAAAGGAAGGAAATCTCACATCACCACTGTTTGCTGTTCCATGCTGTTGAATTAGATATCAGGTTGAGGAAAGGCAAGCTGACATTACAAGAGTCGAGTCGAGTCGGTGGTGAATCTGAATCAGAGCGGCGGCGGCGAAAAAGTTGCTTTCAGACAGCAACAAATCAAAGGTGGCAGCTTAATTAGCTCGAATCAAATTATTAGTCCTGAAACGATCTCAACAGCAATGCAATCAAGATCAAGAAGTTAAGTTTCTGTGTTAATAAAAGGAAAGGGGGCAGGGGGAGAAGAGAGACGGATTCATTCACATCCATATATCTTTGTGTGTTTTTATGAATGATAGTCTGATGGATGACAGTACAGCGATTTAAGCATGGACCGAAGACGTCGTTTCGGCTGACTCGTCATCCTCCTTTTCCTTTCCCTGACTGATAATCTCGGCTAAAGAAAGAGAGAGACAGAGAGAGAAAGAGAGTACGATGTAGCATCAGATCCATCCATGGTGTCCCCATCTATCGCTCTCTATCTCTTTCTTTCTTTCTTTCTTTCTTTCCATGGCAATTTGCCAGCCGCGATGGAACTAAGTGACAGCAAAACAGCAGGTGCGGCTAGCTGAGCCTGAGCTAGTTGCGGCCAGTGACTGACTGACCGATGATTGATTCTCTCATGCACTAGCAGTCTAGCACTATCGTATCCCCAGCCAGCCCAGGGAAAAAGGAGAGCCGCAACGCTGCCCCGTGCCCATAAGGCCATAACGGAGCCCTTCACCTCAAGGGGTTGTTTTCATCTCGTTTCAGGTCATCTCATCTTCAGTTCTCCACACACACAAGCTAAAGTGGCAGCAATTGCGAGGTCATACACTAGCTAGCTCTCCTTTTCCTCTCCACTCCAACCATTCTTTTCTCACCTCTCCCTAATATGAATCCACAGTTGGTTCCTCCTTGAGGTGGACAATTCCATCTTCAGTCCAGTCTGCTCGTATAACAATAATCTAATGTTTCGCCGACAACATGACGCCACAAGGGATCGAATCATTCATAAAGTTTTCTGGTAAATGTTACTAGTAGTAGTTTAAGGTTTTTATATTTCAGCTGATTATTCCAGCTCCACGAGTGCATGCAGGAGAGCAGAAATGCTATGCTTATATTCCCTTGCTCACTCACTCGCTCACTTTAACCGCTTCTTATATACGTGATGATGTGTGTGCCTCTCTGCCTCATCAAGTACAGATGCTTCTGCATGTCAAGCAGAGCTAGTGAAAAGAGGAGTATAATATATACAAAGTAGATATCACTAGTGTTACTTAAACTTCTCCCAAATTCCGATTAGGTGCTCTTCTTAATTGAATGGCAGAGCTTTTACCTTTTCGTTCAAAAAAAAATTTCCCATTCAAGTGCTGCTATGTAAATTGCACGTTCAGATCCCTAAACCTGTCTTGAGTTCTCATTCTAATCCCGTACTTGCAAATTGCTGCTCCTTAACCTTATCCCGAGTTTGCACCCTGATCCTAGTACTTGAAAATTGTACACTCAACCCCGCACCGCACCGTCCTTGCCTCCACCAAATCGCACACGCACGCCTCACCCATGCAACTGCTCGCCCTATCACCTCATGCCTCCTAGCATTGCATTTTCGGCGTGATGCCACACCCACGTTGCTACGCTAGGCCCTGTTGTGCCCGTCCGCGCCGCCATGCCATGCGCTACACTTGCCCTACCTGGTCACAGTGACGGCCTTGCCCTTGTTGAGGGAGGCAAAGAAAGCTGGGAGGGTGGGAAACGAGTGCCAGGAGATGGCGAGAACGAGAACGAGCTTCTATGCCATGGGGAAGAGGAAGGAGCGCGGTGGTAATGGTGGCCAAGTCAAGTGCATCTACCACGGTGTGGGGGTCAGCACTGCAGCAAGGTGGAGCAGGAGCGAGTCGAGCGGAAGCAAGGAGGGCCACGAGATGAAGGCTCTGCCATGACATGTAGTAGGACAAGCATGGTATGGGCGGCCAAGTGTGTGTGGCGGTCCTAGAAATCTAGATTGGCTATGGTGAAGCTACGTTGTCGGTTGTGAATGCAGATGCAAAAAAAACCAATACTAGGGTCACCATAGTTGTAACTCGAATTTTCGCACCTATAGGGCAAGGACACCCCTTCTAATTTCCTCTAGATTCACTACTCTAGGGCGGTACATCGTGCCTAAGACCCAGCCACACGTCCCAGCCCCCATGCACTATGACCTACGACGCTAAGGGTGGACGAATGCGGTGTTGCGTAGTGCGACCACGCGCAGTGCGGTGGTGGTGGTGTGTGGTGGTGGTTGGGATTGTAGAATAGTACAAATTTAGAGATTTGAGTGTGTATTTTGCAAGTATCGGGACTGAGACGAGAACTTAGAATAAATTTAAAAAGTTCAATAGTATAAGTGTATAAGTTCAGGGAGCACAATCTAGAGTACCGGGCTAGAATGAGAATAACCTGCTGGGTATCTCTCTCTCTCAAAGACACAAAGTGCTATGTATACTTATCATTGCAATAAAGGCATATATGCATATCAACCATGTCAAACAGTGACAAATAAAGGCGTAAGGGCGCCTTTGAGAAAGAAAGAGAGGTGGCCACATACTCATTTGTGTTCAGTGTTGTGCTGCTGCTAATGGGTCTGGGTGTGTGGCCAGGCAGGCCAACACCATTGGCAACTTCATCATTGCCCACACACCAAAAGCTAATCAGCAAGAGAGAAATAAAGGGAGACGTGCTACAGCTCCCTTGCACTACCAGTCTACCACAGCAGCAGCAGAGCAGCTATGGCAGCTAGGTTTCTGTAACCAATCTCACCCATCTTTTCTTTCCTTCCTTTTTTCCTTCCCTTCGTCAGAAGATGAGAAAAAAGGCGTACCTGAAACGATTCCCTGCATAATCGCATTACCGCATTCCATTCCGCTGCATACTTGCATTGCATCTCATCCCTCCTGCCGCGTCCTCCTCCTCCTCACCGATCCATTCCAGCCATCGTGTCTAGCTACCTCGCCGCTCGCTGTCCGGGTCGCATCGCAATTTGCATCGCCTGGTCGGGGACTCGGGGCCGGCGAGCCACACTATAAAAGACCTTCCGCCGCCTGCGAACTGGGATCATCCCTGTCTGATGAACGAGCTCTCAGGCAGGCAGGCAAGCAAGCAATCCAGTGGACAGTGGAGAGTGGGCATGATGATGATGATGCGGTCCTGCCTCGGCGGCGGCCTGCCGGTGGTGGTCATGCTCTGCCTCAACGTGGTGGCGGCGGTCATGGTGTCGCTCGTCAAGGTGGCCATGAACGGCGGCATGAACCCGCTCGTCATCGTCACCCTGCAGCAGCTCACCGCCGCCGTCTTCCTCGCGCCAATCGCATTCTTCAAGGAGAGGTAAGCAGCATATCGTAGCAAGATGATCCAAGGCTGTGACCCACCCACCTTTCTTCGTTTTTTTTAAGTAATCTTCTTTTCTTTTTTTCAAGAAAAAGAAGCTAGAGCCTAGAGGAGGGCAGCATGGGTATATATGCATTCTAATTTATGTACAATTTTTTTGCAAGCTCAGCTCAGCATGTCTTTTGTTTTCATGAGATTGTCTTTTGCTGCTGCAACTGCAAGTCTCCCTGAATTCGGTTGATTTGGATTTCAGGAAGTCGAGGCCGAAGCTGACGCTGGAGATCTTCGCCTACATCTTCGTCAGTGCGGCGCTCGGGTATGTATCACTATCATCTTCATGAAGAAGCTGCTTCAATTCTTCCGAGAGTAACCATCCATTCCACCATGTCTGAATCTGAAACAAAAAGCGAGAACGAAGCTCATCTCATGAAGCTATAGCACATTGATGAACCAACCTGCGCCATTGCAGGGCAGCTCTGCGTCAGTACATGATCTTCGTGGCCCTGCGCTACACCACGGCCACCTTCGTGACAGCCTTCTCCAACATCGCCCCCGTTCTCACTTTCCTCCTCGCCGTCGCCACGCGGTCAGAGGCGCTGGACCTCAAGAGCAGGACGGGCATGGCGAAGCTGCTGGGCACGCTGGTGTCCCTGGCCGGCGCCATGGTGCTCACCATCTACAAGGGCGTGGCGCTCACCCACGCGGCGGCGGCCTCGCACCAGCAGTCCCACCGGCCGACGCACGCCGCCGCGGACGACGCCGCCAGCCGCGGCAAGTGGACGCTGGGCACCGTGGCCATCCTGGGCAACTGCGTCTGCCTCTCCTGCTGGTTCCTGCTCCACGGCCGGCTCGCCAAGAAGTACCCGCACGTCTACTCCTGCAACGCGCTCATGTCCCTGTTCAGCTTCCTCCAGGTCGCCGTCGTCGGCCTCTGCACCCAGCGCAGCATCTCCCCCTGGATCATCACCAGCAAGTTCAACATCCTCACCGTCCTATACGCCGTACCTGCTTGCTTTGCTCACTCACTGTTCCTTGTTTATTTCAGTCTCCTCGTTGCCATGCATCACTGCTTCATCATTTATCAAGTCTGAAACTCTCAACTAGCTCCATTATCAATTTATCATTCTGATAAATGAATGATCCTCACACTTCCTCAGGGCATCGTCGGCTGCGGCGTCTCGTTCGTGCTGGTGACATGGTGCATAGAGAAGAGGGGAGCCGTGTTCGTGGCCGCCTTCATACCGGTGGTGCAGATCATCGTCTCCGTCATCGACTTCTCCATCCTGCACGAGCAGCTCTACCTCGGAAGGTACGTACGGACACTCATGGTACCATGCCATGCCATCACTGAATATCTGAATCCAATCCACCTGATCGAAAGTGAAGTCACCTGCTCTGCTCTGCTCCTCCGGTGCCCTTTGTGCATGCAGTGTGCTGGGATCAGTGCTAGTGATAGGTGGCCTGTACCTTCTGCTGTGGGGCAAGAGGCAGGAGGCCCTGCACTGTCCTCCTCCTCCAAAGGTTGCCGAAGAAGACGCTGCTGACAAAGAGCAGCAGCAAGTGCAGCACAACTGAAGACGGACATCAGCATCCTCTGACTGTTGGTCGTTTGGTTGTAACAGTCCCAGCAATAAGATCTCTGGCTGGCTCCTTTTCTTTTTTCCTTTTGGTGTCTCAGGGTGGGCAATGTTCCTTCCTTCCTTCTCAGATCGATCAGTCTGGTGCCAACAAAGTGTTTAGATTCTAATCCAAACAGTAGAATGGTCTTAAATACAGTACTCCTACTTACTGATGATAGCAACATCACATACTGAACCACCACTACCAGCAAGCCATTTTGTAGGCCTCTGGAGAAATAGAGTAGAGTGTGGGCAATACCGGAGAGCAGAATTTTTCTGCAAATATAAGCAGTTGTTCACCCTTTCGTATGTATGCTTCTGCATTAGTATATTTATTTACTGCACAAAAAATGGTCCAAGAAATGTGCAGAAAAATACAGTACGGATATGTATTGTAAGTTTGTTGTGTAACTTTGTTGGTTGTCAGGGGCAAATGTTCATTGTGTAGATATCAATTTCAATGTAAAATAAAATTTCTCCTGCATTTGACATAAACCAATTTTTTAAAAAGATCTACAAGAGCTTTACAAAAAAAATTGTGGGGACAGAAATTCTGAGCCACTTCATCACTCTTTTCATGTGTGTACTGATGACATTGCTCATACCAAAAATGGAATAGACATAATATAAGAGTACATATAAAACCCCAAAGAAACAACCATAGTAATACACAGAACAAACTCACTATCTACATTATATACGCAGTACACTTTGGCCTCACGTACAGATACACACAATGACACAACACAAATGTCAGATGCAAAATTGAACGGTCAGTAGACCTCCACATTCCATTGCTCTCCCTTCTTCAGCTGCTTCTTGTAGTCGAACCAGTCAATTCCTGACATTGTGCAAGCAATGCAACACAAGTCAGCACCATTAGTTTCACAGCAAGAACGGCTCAAATTAAGGAGAACAGGTTCACAAGATTATCTATAGAGTATATATACCGTCTTTTTCAGCTAGTGACACCATAATGTCATCAATACCCTTCTCCATGCCTTTCAACCCACACATGTATACGTAGGTGTTGTCTTTCTTCAGAAGCTCCCACAGCTCCTCCTTGTACTCTGCCATCCGGGTCTGGATGTACATCCTCTCCCCCGCCGCGTTTGTCTGCTCCCTGCTGACGGCATAGTCAACCCGGAAGTTCTCCGGCGCTTTCTCCTTCATCTTCTCAAACTCCTGAATAATGTCCATTCACAAATGCAGTGCAACTAGATAGGTTGAGTGCCGCATGAAATCAAATAAGAGGAGAGTAGCACTTGTGCAGTTCCTCATGAAAACAGCAGAGATCGATGTACTGACCTCCTTGTAGAGCAATGAACTGCTCGTTGGAACACCCAGGAAGAGCCATCCCAGACCGTTGAACTGCACAAGAGTTCACACATTGTTCATTTGTTTAGTCTTTCTCTGTGAACTTTACTTTAAGAGATATGGGTGGTTTTAGTTTGATACTGCCGGGATAAAGTAGAACACCGCTGTACCTTGTAATTGTCATGCTTCTCGAAGAACATCTTCCACAGGAACGAGCGGAATGGAGCAATACCTGTACCGGTGGCAAGCTGGAAGAAATTGGCATGAATGTGAAATCTCTGGCTGTCGTCAGTTATTAGGCGCTGATCAACAGGAGTTGGCACTCAAGCTTACCATTATAATAGTAGCGTTGGGGTCTTTGGGCATGAGCATTTCTTTGCCAACTGGTCCTGTTATCTGGACGTCAGCACCTGGCTTCAGGTCACCTGCATTATGATATGAGCACAGGGGAACAAGTTGGATCAGGCATTCAGGTGTCAACCTTTAAAGTGAAGGATCATATATAATGCGTAGATCCAGATACATGTTAATGAAATGAGGATTATGGATGGATGCCACAACAAGGTGCTGGTATAGGACCACATTCGTGGCTTCCAGTTTGGTACCGTGTCAGTTCAATGAAGTCAGGTCAGGATTAGTGGATTAAATATAACAGTAATGTGTGAAGGCCAAGGGTACCATTGATTTAATGGGACAGTAACTGTGCACAAGAAGAAAATAATGAGGCGCGGAATAAGATGGCTATTGAAAAAAAAATGGATAAGCCTTCTGAGATTATTTTTCATGCTTTAATCTTTTTGTAGAAGTGGCTGGTACTGCTTAAGCCGGTGGACAAAGACAGGATTGGCAAGATAATGGCGATCGTGTTGGAGTGGACCTTCTGGCTGTTCTAGATTCAGACATTGTTGAAATCTAAGGTGTAACAGGGTCCCTCTTTTGGTTTTGTTTGGAGAGCTGGCAGTCCCAGCAGACTTTGTATCAAACTATATTGCTTTCTTAAAAGCAGAGGAAAACTCTTTTCAGAAAAAAAGAAGATAATGAAGCAGCTAGTAAAGTCAGTGTCATCCACATTCAGTAAAAGCCGGTGTCATGAGAATCAGATGTCAAAATCTGAATCCTGACGACTTGTATTCTAAGAAACCAATTCTTGAGAAGGAGGAGATGCAGAGAAGAAGAATGCAATGCAGCGCAGTGCAGGCGGAAAGTGACGAGACTTACATAAGAAGTTCGAGCAGACTCCCTTGACGATCTCTCCGGCCTCGTTGGTGTAAACAAGCCTCTTTACACACAGCGAGACCTGCAGACGAAGCACAAGTTAGGCGATTAATTCTGTCTTGCTCGTCTCGCCAGAAAGAAATGCTCACAAAGAAAATGATGGAGAATGGTTGGTTCAGAGAGAGCAGAGGAGAGGAGAGGACTACTGACTGTCTTGGAGTCGCCAAAGTCGCCGAGAGCGCTGCTGGCGATGGAGTAGAGCCTGAGCTTGTGCGGCTTGCCACTCTTGTCGACGCCGTCGGCGATGATGCCGATGGACTGGCCCTCTCTGTACGGGATCTTGCCTGCGTGCAGTGCGTGTACAACAGTTGGGCACCTGTCATCGTGGGACGAAGGAACTGAGAACAAACAAACCAACAAGACTACAAGAGTAACCTACCTTCGGTGCTGAAGACCATGTGCCACGTCTCACCCGGCGCGTCGTCGCCGGTGATCTTGGTGTTGAGGAGGCACTTGCCGACGTACGGCTCCTTGGGCTTGTACAAGTTGGTGACGACGCCTTCCTCCTGTTTCTTGGACTCCTTCTTGGACTTGGCGGGCGCCTCGACGGCGGTGTCAGTGGCGGACGCCTGCGCCCGGATGGCGGCCCGCGCGGCCCTCGGGCGGTAGGAGAGGAAGTGTGGGGCGGTACAGGGCGACGTTGGCGACGCTTTGACGACCGCAGAGGCGGCCGAGGAGGACGGGAAGGAGACGGCCGCGGCCATGACTGTAGTGGCCATGGCGGCCAGCAGCAGCAGCAGCTACACAGTGGCGTACGCTTCTGGGGTGCGAAAAGTGGAGGCGGCCGGACCGGAGGCGGAGGGGAGGGGAGAGGAATGAAGGCGGCCTGGCCGGAGATGATACACGACGGCAGGGGGAAAGATGAGTGGAAGGCGGAGGAGAAAGGAGATGAGAAGCAAGTGGTTGTGGTCTTTTGCAACAATGTTCATTGGTCTTTTCTGTGTTCCATGATTCGTGCCACCGGGCCCACTTGCTCGATTTTTTTCTCTTTTGTTGCAGATTAGTTTTCCAGAATGCAACTGATTTGATGTATACCTGATTTTTATGAATGCAACTGATTTGATGCATACCTGCTGGTTTTTATGTAATACAACTTTGTATCTTATTTTGCTTTGAAACTTTTCTATCCATAGCAGACTCTTCAAAAGCTGGTTTGATTAGTTTGTGTTTCTTTATGAAGTCTACAAACTAAGCCATGATTCAATTTTATAGCAGATAGAACTTTGATTGAAAAAAAATGGAATACATGTGTTGTCTGCAACTGAAAAGTTACACCATGGAATTCGGCATACACAAGTTATGTAATTGGCAATTGTTCAACGGAGATGAATGAAGTCCATATATAGCTTCATCCAGAACCAGAAAAATATGGTACAGGACCATTCCAGATAGCAGCCTAAAACAGAGCATTCTGCTCCACAGAAGTTATACAAGTACAGGGGCCATTCTTTTACTGGACCCTCCAAACGTTTGCTGCCGTTAGTCTCCGTCTCAGCAACTTTTGAGAAGTTAATCCAACGGTACAGATAGGGAAGGCGCCAGCACCCCGGGTGCCAAATCCATTCTCGATCAATTAAAGGCCACTGTTTCCGAAACCACCTGCATATTTCTGCAAAATAGTTTTTAGGAGAGATTGGAAGAACTAAAAATAATCTGCACAATTTTGATCTTTAATCGTGGCACAAAGGCAGAGGTAGAACTGACTTGCAGTTTTTTTTTGAAATGTCACTGGGGGATTACTCCCCACCTGAATATATATTATAGCCCAAAACGGCTCGTTATATGTTTTACAAATGTTTAGGAAGGAACACCACCACCACCAAGACGCCCCAGGCAAGAAGTGGCAGAAACCACAATACACAAGCGGAATGAAAAGACTACCACACGCGAGGCACAAGAGCTCTTTAACGATGAACTGACTTGCAGTTACTGAAGAAATAATCGTGGCACCTAATTGCAGAAATCAAGAGGCACAGTTTCTTCTTTGAAGTATTCCTTCCTCACAGTCTCGGCATCGCAAAATCTTACCTAGCAGGGGTAACATAGCAGTAGATTGTAAGATTATCCATATCGTTTGATGAAGCACTAACCTAAGAGAGAGGGAGAGCATACCAGGGAGGCATAATATTTCAACAGAGGTTTGACAACCTGCCACATTGGTTGAAAAACAAATGGAGCATCGACAAAAAGAACTTGGCCAAGCCGCTTCGGGTAGTAATAGTAAAAAACATCAATCTGGGAAGGGGAGGGGGCATTAATTGCGACGGATATACCAAAAAAAAGTGTTTATATATATATATAATAGTTGCAGCATATAGCAGGAAATCCATATGTGATTTGAATTAATCCATTAGATAAACTTGTTCTTTTGCCATCTGAGATCATGAACACACCATTTGTCTTTTCTAACTGGTGTGCCTCATCACAGTTTTCGTATGTAGAAATAGTTTTTTTTAAGGAAACAGGAGGGGTCTCCCCCTACTGAGCTTTATTATAACTGAACTAAAAGGTTCCAGATACAAAAAATCAAGAAACAAAGAAAGATACAAAGAAAATAGAAAGAATTACACAAAGTTGTCTAGCCATAGATCTATCAAAGCTTTGTGAGCATTCTTAGCTCTGAGCCTAACCCAGGCTAACTCCCGTCTGATGATGAATTTGCAAGACTGAATTGAGTGTTGAACATTCCTGAAGATAGCATCATTTCGGAGGGCCCAGATTGCCCAGAACATTGCTATGATAATCTCCATGAAAATTGGCTTATGTAGAAATAGTTTATTGCTTGGAATTACTCCTTGCAATGGATGATGTATACATTACATGAATGATTTACTAATGTTTTCCTGTGGCATTACACTGCTCTCTTTTCACATTCTTTTATATCATCGCAAATGAGGAGAGGTAGAGGAAGACCGAAGCTAACATGGGGAGAGGCAATAAAAAAAGATTTAAAGGGTTGGGATATACCTAGAGATCTCTGTTTGGATATGAGTGCTTAGAAAATAGCTATTGACGTGCCTGAACCGTGACTAGGGGCTCATGTTGGATTTCAACTCTAGCCTACTCCAACTTGCTTGGGACTAAAAGGCTTTGTTGTTGTTGTTGTTTATATCATCGCAAATAAAAGTATGCATGTCTGCCACTGAACAGCACAAAAGGTAATCAGAGATGCTTAGTCATGCCTTGAAGCTATCAAACTTACCAAAAACTTTAGGAACTGGAGATCACCATTTTCAACACGAAAGCCTCGCAGATCAAAGATTCCAAGTATAGTCTCTGCTCCTGAGGGAAGTCTGCTTACTGCCTTCTCAACCAAATAGGCACATAGCTTCTGGTTTTCAACTGGATCCTGTGTCTGCAGTAGCATATTATACATGGATCATCAGTATTATTAAGAGCAAATGCTTGTCGAATACAAGAGATATCTTTAAGTTACAAGTCAGCTAGCTAAGCCATGTAGTTTAATTTTGGAGCTGCTATGAAGTAATACTGATAGTATGCCACTGTCTTCTTTTGTTCTTTGTGCTATTCTAAAAATTGGAAACACTGTATGTGTAGCCGCTATCCCTGTTGAACATTTCCAAATCAAGATTGGGAAACAAAAGGAACGCACCGAAGGGAAATGTTTGGCTGCCACTACAACTAGCACAGGTCTGCCGTAAACGTCCAAAGAATCATGTACATATGCCTTGCCAGTTTGGTAGAGGCCTTTCACTGATTCTTCTGATAACTCTGAAACACCAAAATCCTGGCGCCATTTCTAATGCAGTTGAAAGGAAAACTGAAGATACCAATGCTTATATAGATTCTGTTACAATACCAGGAATTTAGTGAGTAAAATATTAGGTTTCCCATGATCTTGCAAAACATGAATCTTGATGTGTGAAGGGTATCAGTTTATATCAAAACTGCATATTGGTAAATATCAGCTTGAGGTGTGAAGGGTATAACTTTATATATCAAAATTGCATATTGGTTCAAAGACCAAGGATGAAAACCCCTCTAACAAAAATGTGTGAGAACATCTAATAAATTCAAACATGAGGATACAATTGCCTTGGTGAGCTTGGAGACGGCTTCATCGACGGAGAATTTGCGGTCCTTCAAGAACCAGAGGACCATGTCGTCATCGTCTCTCCCATTCCTGCCCGTGGGGAGGCCTGGGTTCTCCCTCGCTAGCCGTTCTTTCACCTCTAGGACAAGCTTCACACACGAGAACCGAGCAGCGCCAGACAGACAAGTGAATCAGTAGTTTAAGCTTATACATGATCCCCCACTCTTTATTATTATTATCCAAAAGAAGCGACGTATGACATTTCCCTCTGCTGGTGGCTCCAGGTATAAAAATTGTGAAGCACACGTAGTGGGTGTGGCCGTTTGGGTTACCTTGGCACCGCTGGCACCTGGCGGGGCGGCGCTTTGGCAGCGCACTGCGCTCCTGGACTTGAGCAGAGGAGCTCGGACGACGGAGCGGCAGAAGTAGCAAGAGGCAGTCATCATCTTCCCTTCCTTTTTCCCTCGGATGCTGCGATTGCTGGTCCCTGCAATGCAAATGCAACGCCGGATTGTGGATATTTACACCTGACCAAAGTTGGGGTCGGGACGTGGAGAGCCCGCCCGACAGCAAAGACAGCGGCCTGAGCCTGACCCGACCCGACGACGCAGCGGACTGAGGGATGGAGGGAGCCAGGAGGTGAACGTGAGCGCCACAGAGCCTGGAGGGCGAGGGCCGCAGACGCAGCCGGCAGCTCCACGCCTTTGCCGTTGACCTCCCTGCTGCCTTGCCTTCTCCGTGGGATTGGGCGTGGGCGCGGCCGCACAGTGATTTGGAGGAGTGCGGCGCGCGAGCGGTGGAGAAGCGTGGTGGCTGGCTGCAGTGGCTCAGCGAGCGCAGGCAGAGGGGTCTGCAGTGGCTCGGGCACTCGGCGAGTCTGGCGCCGGGGCTCCGGCCAACAGCGTGTAGCCAGCCGTGAAGGAGATTGATTGGGGACTGGGGACTGAGGAGAACAGAGCTGCTGTTCCTGTTGGGCTGGGTCACCCCAGATTTCTTCTTTTTGGGTTGGTTGGGCCCCAACAGAGAACAGCATTTTCTTGCTGGGCTGGTCACGCTGGGAATGCTGGATCGTGTAGGCCGTAGGATTTCTTTCTTTTTCGGATAAGGATTTCTTTTCCGTTTCGGGATCTCTCCCTCTCCTCTCAACCATCTAGTATAACACACACACACACACACACACACACATATATATATATACATATATAGTATATAACACACACACACACACATATATATATATATATAGAGAGAGAGAGAGAGAGGGGTAGTGTGCCCGTGCGTTGCTACGGGACAACTAAATCTTTTGTACTAAAAACACATGGATTGCACGATACTATAACAATACTGTTAAATTAAATACCAACGTCAAAGTGACATTTAATTTAAAAAGCAAAGTTCGTGAAATTAACACAGTCACGGAGAGCGCGACGTCGCAGGCTCACAAACTCTATTGTATAGACTTTTTCGTGATACGGCTAAGATAATATTTTTTATCGGCAAAAAAAATTCTACGATATCTATTTCTTTCATGCGCCAATAAATCCATGAATAAGTTCCGCTGTATCTCCATATAATCATGTACACACAGGTTCGAGTATATATGTAAATAGGTTCGTGCCCGTGCGTTGCTACGGGACAGTTAAACTTTTATACTAAAAACACACGGATCGCACGATAAGATAACAATACTGTAAAAGTATATAACCGACGTTAAAGTGGCATTTAATCCAAAAAATTAAGTTCGTGAAATTTACATAGTCACAGAGAGCGAGGCGTCGCAGGCTCACAAACTCTACTGTGTAGATATTTTTGTGATGCGGCTAAGATCATTTTTTATACCGGCAGGAAGAGATTTCCGATATCCATTTCTTTCGTGTGCCAATAAATGATAATATTTTAATGAGGAGAGAAGAAATAAATTTCATGGGGATAAAATTCTCTTGGTAAGATTACCAACTCTCCATGAGTTTTAGAATTAAATGTTTATGAAACCATGAAATGAAACTTTATATTGAGAGTGAATGTTTAGTCCAAGTTTTATTTTATTTTATACAACACGGCAGTCTTGTAAGCAACACAATAAAACTCTACGCTGAAACTGGCCTAACAAGCAATCTCCTCCGTTACCTCCCGTGTCCTCGGAACGTTAACAGTAGTAGGCCCTCTCAACTTTTTGATTGATCTGATTGCTTGGTAATTAGTTGGTCAATAAGGAATGATTTCTTCTTCTTCTTCTTCTTCTTCTTGTGCACAAAGAAAATTCATCAGGTACGTCTGATAAGTTTTATCTCCAAACAAAATCGTCATATATTCTCTGATTCAATGAATCCTCTATTCAATTTATTTGATATAAGCTTTGTTGTTGTATATAAGCGCTTGCTTTGTGATGTATAGTTCCCTTTGATGTATGATACCCCCTCTGTTCCCAAATAAATCAATTCATAGAATCCGTGCCAATCAAACTATCTTAAGTTTGACTAACTTTATAGGAAAAAAGGGTAACAACATATTTGCCATAAAATGAGCACATTACGAAAATACATTCGATAGTATATCTAATAGTAATAATAATGATTTAGTTTTATAAATCTTTACGGGATTTGCTAGAAATTCTGTCAAAGTTTAAAAAGTTTGACTTAGGATAACTCTAGAAATCTATTTATTTAGGGACAGAGAGAGTAGGGACAGTTTATACCGATCGATATCATACCATTTATTTCTTTTCTTAGAAAAACAGTTAAACTATTTTAGTTTATCAGTTGGGTCCTATAAATTTTGTTATACTGAGAAATTGTTAGCTCCACAACAAAGTATAATTTCCATTCACTAAAAGTCCGGGTTTCTCTATTTGCTTGTTACTTGGGGCTACTATAATTAGTATAACTTATCAACTTGACATCAATCTAATTACTCAATATAATGGCATGCTTTTTTGAATGGTATAAAATGCAGGGAGCGCGACTTGTTCATCATTCCGAAGGTGCACTACGCTCTCCACCATTATAATGTCAGACACCCGGTACGTCCCAGCTGAACCTTCACTTCGTTTCATGTATATACTTCCTCTAATCATAAATATAAGACAATTAGATTTGACCTAAGTCAAGATTTTATAACTTTTACCTTTGATGTATAAGGGGCTTACCTTAAAAGCATGCTTATTCGGCTTCTTTTTTTTCAGGCGAAACAGTGTTTTTCTCTCACAACATTTCAACTTTGACTTGTTTTTTCAGTCAATTTCAGTCCAGCGAACGGAGCATATATATATATATATATATATATATATATATATATATATATATATATATATATATATATATATATATATATATATATATATATATATATATATATATATATATCGAAGCATAATCCAGAAACGGATGGTCTCAGGTCCGAGAAGTATTTGCTTAAGACGATTTGCAAGTACTTTTGAGGTACCACATTGCATAATCTAATTAATGGGTCTCAGGTCCTTCAATTTTTTTTTTCTGGACCGGGGATCTTTGGAATTAACGCTGCAATAGTCAGTCTCATTCCACTGATCTGGCATGCCCCCACCTGTAAGGAATTGTTTGACTTCTCACACTAGGCCCCACAGTATTCCAGTATATATATTAAATTAAACTCCATATAGCTCCTAGAATCCGTGCAAGAAGAATGCTTTGACTACTGTTAGCTACTGTTCACCAATCTCCTGCTACCTCGTGGACTCGTGCGTGTGTAAGCATCGGTTTCACCTCTCCCGATTAATTTAATTGAGGCCTGTTCCTGCACGGCTTCACCCTCGCTCTCTCCGTCAACGGAAAAATAATAAGGAAAGAAAAACTCCTTAGCCGGCAGCGCACCTCGCCGCTCCGTCCGTGCTTCTTCTTCCTTTTCCTCTCCCCCAGCGGCGGCGGACGCGGATGCGGCGTCCTTCCTTGATGGAGGATGCTCATGTGGATCGCTTCATCACCTCTTCCTCTCCCCCGACGGCCAGCCTGGCCTAGGGTTGCACGAGGCACCAGGATGGAGAGGGGGCGATGGCGATGGCGATGGCGACGGCGCTTGGGATGTCGGCATCCACGGGGCAGAAGCGAAGATAAGAGGCCGCCCTCGTCCTCATCTCTGCCAGCAAGCATGGGCTCCCCAACTGTACCTCGCCGCCGTCCTAACACTGAGGTTCACACTCCCTCCTCCTCCTCCATCTCGATCTGTTGTCCGATCTTCATCTACTCGGTGTTTGGGTAGGTCTTACCTACCTGCCTTTGTGTGGTTTCCACGTCCGAGAAGTGCTCCAGGCTCAACATCCCCTCTCTCTCAGGTGCCAGATCCCTTCATCGCTCCTTCGCCGATGCTCTCTGTCAAATTTCCCTGGACTAATTAGTTTTTTCTAGAGCCTTTTACCGAAAGATGCTCCGGACCTACGTGCCCTAAAAGGTTCGAGCGCACTCACGTACCATCGTCAAACTTTTTTTATTTTTCCTCCATGTCATTCCATCCAATTTTCGTCTGATTCAGCCCTGACATGTGGGCCCGGGAAGGTAAAACATCCCAGATGCCCTTCTGTCTCCCATGTCTCTCTCTCCGCGCTACCCATGCACCCCTGCGATGGCGGTGGCTGCTCAAACTGGTCCACCCGGCCAGCCCGCCCCTGGCACACGCGACGAGCTTGAAGACAGTCAACACGCGGCGAGCGCCTGGCAGAGACGCACATGCCCTGCCTCCGTGCTGCTCTAGTGCTGCACTGCCGCTGGGGGAGGATGCCGACGGAGAGGACGTGCGATATCCCAACCTCGCCGCCCTTGCCATAATTCCCATCGCGGCCCTTGCCGAGCCTCGCCAAAGGTCGGGGAACAGGAGCGACATCGCGCCACCGCGGATCGGGGAAGGTGGAGCGGTGGATGGGCGAGGGTGACGGAGCCGAGAGGCCGTGTTCAGAGGCGGACAGCGGGCGCGCTAAACTGCAAAGGGGAGCGACATCCTGCCGTCGCTGCCCACTCATAGCTCGTCGCTGGTAGCGTGGAGACCCTCGGCTCCAGCCCTGCCCTGCGCGCCCCGCCGCCGGAGCTCCTCCGCGCTCTACAGTCCAACGGCAATGGCACCCTCCACGGAGGCGCAGCACCGCCCCAAGTCCTCGATTCGCGATCCGACGAACAGGGCAGCGACGGCAGGAGCAAGAGGTCGCATTTCTGCGCCCGGGATTGCGCGAAGCGGATCATGGAGCTGCCCGTGGAGGAGCCGGTGAAGGTGCTCGACCTCCTGCCGTGCGACGACGACGTGCTCACCGTCTCCGGCTACAATGACATCCTCTCGGCGCTGGCTCGCGCGGGGGACCACGCCACGGCTATCACGCTGCTTCGTGCCATGCCCATTGCCCCCGAGCCCGCCGCCCCTACGAGCCCCCGCCGGCTGCGTGTCCCGCCACCGCCGCGCGCCGCCACGGTTAAGCTCGAAGCGCCAGCCGTTGAGGGGCGAACGCCTCGACACCGTGGTGGTCGCCGCCGCCTTCCGCGTTGACTCCTTCCTCCGCGCCCGTCTGGACACGCGACGCCATTGCAGCGGAACGGAAGGTGTGTGTTGGCCAGCCCACCTCCATGCCCCTCTAGCCCCGGCCCGAACCTCAAGAGCTTCATCAACCGCGCTTTCCACGCCAACTTCGAGCTGGACACCGACGCCAAGATGAGGAGTTCCTGCTCCACGGCACCAAGCACTACAGCGACGGGCTAAGCCGCTTCTACGACGCCGCGCTGCATCTTTTGGGCGCCGTCGATTCGGCCGGGGGCGGCGCGGAAGAGAAGAGAAAGAGGGAGGTTTGGTGGCTGACAAACGGGCCTCATAGTAGGGTAAAATGGTCATTTCATCTGTCTGTTTGATACCGTTAGAGGTTAAAGTGGACTGAATGGCGTGGAGGGAAAAAAAAAGTTCGACGATAGGTGCTATCGTCGAACTTATTAGTGGTATGTAGGTGTGGAGCCTCTTTTATAATGGCACACCGGCAAAAGGCTCTTTTTTCTACTAGGGTTCGAGCAGGAGCTGAGGATGAACATA